TTTGTTCGAGCGTGAAAAACATAATTATTTGCTAATGTTATCGCTGATGTTTTGTCACAGTAAAGCTTTGTTGCTCGCTGGTTTGGAATCCTAAAATCCTGTAGTAATTTACGAAGCCAGATTATATCTATTATCGTGGCTGCCAAAGCATGATATTCAGCTTCGGTTGATGATCTGGCTACAGTATTTTGCTTCTTCACACTCTAAGATAGAAGAGTATTACCTAGGAATGTACAGTAACCAGACATCGATTTTCTGGTAGATGGGTTTCTGACCCAGTCCGCATCAGAGTAAGAATTTAGTTGAAGATTTCCTTTGGTGATAGGAATACCGAATTGAATTGTGCCTTTTAAATACCGTAACAGCCTTTGAAGTGGATAAGCAAGAATAGATTGCATATGTTGACAAGAATTGTTTACAAGATATGCCAAATCCGATCTCTTAAGAGTTATATACTGCAGTGAACCGATTATCTTACGATAGAGTTGAGGATCTACAAGCAGTAGATCCTCTGGAATTCTGACAGGAGGTTTAGTGCAAGTAGGATTAGCCAGAGGTTTACATAAAAGCATACCAGCTGTGTTTAGAATGGAAGTAGCATATTGCGTTTGATATAGAAAGAATGATTCGGCTTTTCTTTCAATTGATATGGCCAGAAATTTGTGAACATGTCCCAGATTCTTCATGTCGAATTGTTGTTGAAGCTTGTTAATGAGATGGTTCATTGCCGTGTCATTGTTTCCTGTGATTAAAATGTCGTTAACATATATCAATAGATATATATAATTAATTTGCGGGAGACTGTTAAAGCATATAAACAAAATGGGAATATTCATGATGATGGGAAGCTCTCCACATCACTACATCCGGTTCAAGACATCAACATACAAAAGCAAATATCTGAATTCATCTCAGGCGTTGGTGAAGACACCAATACTACGGCTTGATACTTTGCTCTCTTATCCTGGTCTCATTCCGTTAAGAACACAATATATACTTGTACTGGAACAGTGTGAGAAATCAATGAAGTGAAGATAGCTGATAATTATTTGTGTCATTTATGATTCTTATCTGCTTTACAATTTTCTACAGCAGCTAGTTAATGCTTCTATTATATCAATTACAGGAATTTATCAATACTAAACACCCGGTTTACA